AGTAATTATACAAAGAATGTTAATTACCAGTACCTGGAAAAACTAATTTCCTCGCAGGCACATTCTTTTTTCCTCCTGACATTTTAAAAGAAACTTGTCAAATCCCTACCACTGTGCTCTTTGTTGCTAAGTTTCTCTTCGTTCTCATTTTGGATCACTTACAAAACTTCCTATACGTTATATTGGCCCTGCAGACATGACTCCTGAAACCTTCACTTAAATCAGGGTTTTTGCTTGTTTGTTTGCTTATTAAGGATTACCATTGATGATGGCCATTACTGAGTGATCTCCTGTTGATAGTACTTGTGGGAAGAGCTGGTTTATTATGGTATTTATAAAACATTATTCATGATGTCTTAACCATTATAACTATTAATAAGAAAGCATCTGTATCCCAAAGTGTTATGTGTCATTGAAGTAGAAGGGCAGAATGACTGTTTCAAAAGGATTTAGATATTCCAGTGATGACAGCTGACCATGAAAAAGGACAAGACAGAAATATATAAATCTACAGAATTGTTTCTCCCATAGCAGAATTCTGAGGGACATAGGAGGGGGAGGAGGAGGGCCTAGAAGCCATACAGAATGTGCACTTGTAGTGTCCAGTGGACAACAGTTTCCAAAGGTCGAGTTTTGGTTGGGTGGTGATAGACCCTAGGACATGATGCCACTTCCACCTCTCCATGCCTTCCCTATTTGTAAAATACAGCAGTCATAGTATTTTGGTGCCTGCCCGCACTGATTGTTTGAAGATGCTCATGTAGCCTGCACCAAGTGTTCTCTCTATGGCTTACTAAACCATTCCACTGGACCTTTCAGCTCACACATCTGAAAACTGCAACAGCTAGTCACTACAAGGACACTGGAAAAGCTTTCTTGGTCAACTCTGGCTTTAGACCTAGAAGAAGGGCTTTTGAATAATTTACCTTAAATTCCTGTCAATCACAAGCCAACAAATGGCTCCCAGCTACCCAAACCTTTACAAGAATTTGGCCTCAATCCTTCACTTATTAATTAAAACTGTAGGACCAGCAGGGTTCCTCTTTGCTACACGTGTTGGTTCACCGACACTTTCTTATCTACACAGGGTAAAAGCTCTTTGCTTGCTCCTGTTGACAATAGAAACACTATGAAAGGATTTACTTACAGGGTTGGGCCATGGCAATGGGCTCTTTAAATAGCTGTGTGACTTTTGTCTCTGTATCTGGATTTGATTATTAAGCTTTCTTTTTAACAATCAGCAGCAAAGAAAATAGGTTTATTGCACTTGAAGAGGCCTCTCTTCTCGAGTGACAGATTATTGCACCTACTCAAATTATTGTGAGTGGAATGAAAAATGCCACTTTTAACAGGCCAGGGCTTTTCAGTGGCCTGAATGTTCCTCTTTTAACAACTTTGGCAACATCAAGGAACCTTAAAGTGAGAGTAAATTATATTGGTATGTTTTAGTTTAAACATGAGTTTAAAGGTGATTTTAAGCCAATTTTAAGACCAACTGTTTGTAAAGGGGGTTTTAATGGAGTTGGGAATTATGCCCAGAGTGAACACATTGCCTATTTGGCAGTGACTGGCAATTTGTTAACAGTTTAGTGTTCTAAATACAGGGTAATGAGTTACTAAGATACTCATATATACCTTCAGCTACAGCAATAGCAGGTTTAGAAGTCTGCTAACTTGGAAGCTGTAGAAGACAGTAAAAGGGCTTTGCAGAGGTATACTGAAGGACAGTTCATTGGCTGGGGGGGCAGAAT